AACTAACATTTCTCAAAAACTATGAAAATTTTGGGATAAAATGACATATACATTTAACTGCCAGTAAAAGTTTACCATATATCTGAAATTATTTGCAGATAGGCCAATAAATGACAATTTGGTACACAAAATTAACTTCAAAGTGCTCTCCTGTAAAGTACCGTTTTTCAATTTCGATATTATACGTAGGGACAGTCGATATATTATATATTTTCCTCATTGTCGCGGATATCTTTGTTAAAGTTATTTTTTTTTTAAGCCGACCTTAAAAAAGGAGGAGGTTCTCAATTCGATTGCATTTTTTGGTGTGCCACCTCAGATTTTTTTCTTTTCCTTTTCTTTTCTAGGTGAGCCGATTTTGAAGATTCATTTTGAAGTAAGAAAGTAGGTTGAAAATCTTTTTTTTATAACAAATATTCGTAATTAGACTAAGACATTCAAGGATGTAATAAGATTAAATTTTCTTTTCTTTTTAAGGATTTGGTTCAGAAACTACAAGAGGTCCAAAGCTTCTAACCTGATTCAAAGCAAGGGCTACCACCGTCCATATTAACGCATTCTCTTCTCTTAGTCAAAGGTGGGAGGGCTCTGCCAAAATCATTGAATGTCTTCAGAAACCCTCCCTCGCCGCGCACCAATGAGAGTTTTTCGGGAAAGGTGCCGTATAAGTGAGACAAATCAGGGTAATGCGTGGCGCCATTCATCTGTAAGTAATGTAGAAAAAGCACTGAGTTATAGCAAGTAACAAGTGCCTTTAACAACAGCTATGGGTATTCGGTCATTTGGACCATCACTGCAGTAAGAGCTATTGTTATAGCAGATTTTCCTTTCGTAGTGCAGGTTTTTTTTTCTTTTTCCCACGTTCCTTTGCAGCGATTACGAATTATAATAATAAATATAATAATTATTTATTTATTAACCTTGAAAACATTGACATAACAGCTTGCTAAAAACTCTCCACACTGGGCACTGCCTGTCTCGTGGAGAGTTATATGAAACCTTTTCCCTTTTATCCAAATTATCGTATGCCACTGTCGTATTTTGATGGTAGAATGATAAAATTAAACAGCAATCTTACCTGAAACTCGTACGGTAACTGAACAAAGTCTCTGGATGAGTTAGGCATAAATTACAAAAACCCACACACTTATCTTCATCACATTCAGAATTAAGCAAAAAATTATAATGTCTTAAAATAATTTTTGGCCTTGATTTCGTATTTTTCTTAATGATTATTGTATTTAATTAATTGCAAATATTACATTTATAGTCACAGTATCAGCTCGTAGTACCAATCGTAAAAGTTTTTACAGGTACCTACATAGATTAATTGAGATAATAGTGTAGTCTAAGACAATTTGACAATTATTGCATTTATTTAATTATAACCAGCTCTTTTCCTTTTTTTTAGACATTTATAAAGTAAACGCGCCACTCACCTTGAGATATAAGTTTTAAGGTCTCAAGTATAGTTACAACGACTGTCCCACCCTTTAAATCGAAACGCATTACTGCTTCACGGCAGAAATAGGCAGGGTGGTGGTGGAACATTTGTTGAGTACGTATTTCATTAGAAAAAATGGCTCCCGCCAGCGGGATTCGAACACCGGTGCATCGCTTCAACACGAATGCACCGGACATCTTATCCTGTAGGCCACGACGACTTCGACTTCCTACAAAGAAATCTACCAGACGAATGATATTCAGTACACTCACTTGCTTTGCATAGCCAACGGAACAATCGCTGGCTGGTGCGAGCTGTGTGCGCACGAAATTGAGGCATTTCTGACCAAAGAAACCATAGAAAGGGTCATCGGGAACTGCGGTGATTGGAGCACAGGCCCAGTGCTGCTGCTTCGGATGCAGTTGGTCCACACCGCCTTCAGTGCAACAGGATATTCCAGTGTTGTTACCTGGAAGAATAGTAATTAAAGTAATTGAACTTCCAGTAATACTAAACCCTTTGGGAAGGGCAAGATAGAAGCAAAGAGACCCCGCAGCCGATCACCTAGCCGCTGATGTGACCAAATCACCACCCTTAATGGGCTGACAGTCGCAACCACCCTACGAGAATCTGAGGACTGGAAACAGCTCACGAGATATGCCACGTCAAGTTTCAAGGACACGACCTTCAGTAAAGAAGAAAGCGGCGAAGAAGAAGTCTGAACCAGTACCTAAAACTACTACAAACAGTTTTCGGAGTCCTTCTGTAAGACGAAATTTGAAGACTCCTAAGTGGCAAGGTTCAGCTGTACCCTTAGCATTGCTAATGCTCATGATCTTCCATCAGATAGACCTTATGCTTGTCTGTCTATCAAGGCTATAAAAATAAAAACTGAACCATGTAAATGATTTTTAAATGCCCTTATACCTCCTTCCCATCATATTGCGAGTGGTAATGAAGAGATTTTTTTAGACAAGCTCTAGCCGTTGCCATGGCCTTAAATTACGAATATCTAGGAGCAGATTTGTATTTAAAATTTTCATTTTAAAGAATCACTCACCCGATGCGAACATAACTCCAGCGCTGGTGTCGTGTGCTATAAACTGTCCAAACTGCATGAACATGAGGTTGTGTGTGGGACTTGGATGGTTTCCTTCTGGAAGGAGAACGCTGCTGACCACCCTCGCGCTCGGAAGGGGATTACCTGCTGCGGAGACTCTCATTGCCCACACGCCTGAGAAAGAAATTTATTTTTTACTAGCTGTAACCGTCCGCTTCGCTCGCTGGGCATTTAAAATTAACATTATTGTTTCTCACCCCCCAAAAAATTTCATCATTAACGCCTCCGCAACTGGTGTAAGGACTCCAGCACTCATATAAATATTAGCCTATCCATTGAGTACATGTTGTTTCTATATGGATACCAAGTTTCAAGTCAATCGGATGCATGGTTCAGTAGTTATAACGGAACATCCGTAAAAACCACTGTAGATTTATATATTATTATAGATTATAGATTTCTAACTACGAAGAAGCTAACGTAATAGACCGTTGCTGGTAGGACATCTAAGTATGTTCTTCACATTACATCAGAACCACATTCCTCATCCATCGTTTTTATCTAAGGATTTCCTCACTCAAACTACAGCGCCAATATGTGAGTAAATAAGGGCTAAGGGATGTTTTATTGTCATATCTACTTTATTTGTTACTCTAGATCAGTGATTATCAAACTTATTTCTTTTACCGCCCCCTTTGAAAATCAATTATTTTTCAGCGCCCCCCATTTTTTATACACCCCTAAAACTTTAAAACCACAATTTCATTAATTTAATTAATAAATGTTGTATTAATTTTAGTAAATGTAGTACCACGTAGTACATAATTATGTATTTGTAGATGCTATTATTGTT